TCATAATTTTGGTATAGTAGTTGTGACTTATTCACACTATATACATTTGGCTTCCGCAACACTGACACCCTTGGCAGTTGTGTTAGATTAGAAGAACTTTCGCTGGAAGGTAACTACTTCAGGGGAAGTATCCCCTCATTGAGTTCTTTGCGAGGTCTTCGGTTATTAGATCTATCAAACAACAATCTATCTGGTCAAGTTCCACAATATTTGGGTGATTTTGACTTGCAGCTTTTGAATCTTTCTTTTAACAGCTTTGAAGGTTCATTGCCAACAGAAGGTATATTTAAAAATGCAAGTGCAATTTCCGTGCTTGGAAATTCGAAGCTATGTGGAGGTGCACTTGAACTGCAGCTTCCTAAATGTACCCAAAAAGAGTTAAATAAGAGTTTCCCAACATCCACCTTTAAGTTAACCATCTCAATAGTTTCTGGAGTTCTTGGGTTGGCCTTGCTCTTTTGTTTCATAATATTTTACAGTTGCAAAAGAAAGAAGACACGTTTGGCAAGCTCTACGAACCACTCCCTCGTACAAGTGTCTTACAGAAGCCTGTACCAGGCTACAGATGGATTCTGTTCAGCAAATTTGTTAGGTAAAGGTGGCTTTGCATCTGTATATAAAGGATTCATGGAAAATAATGGAGCAATATTCGCAGTAAAGGTCTTCAACCTTTTACAACGAGGAGCTTCCAGGAGCTTCTTGGTAGAGTGTGAAGTATTGAAGAATTTCAGACACCGGAATCTGGTTAAAGTACTAACCGCATGTTCAGGATTTGAGGATGAGGGAAATGACTTCAAAGCTCTGATTTATGAATACATGGAGAATGGTAGTTTGGATGACTGGTTGCACCCATGCCCAAATGAAGACATGTCTTATGGGGAAACCAAGAAATTAAACTTTCTCCAAAGGATGAACATAGCTATTGATGTTGCATGTGCATTGGAGTATCTTCACAACCATTCCCATGAATCAATAGTGCATTGTGACCTCAAACCAAGCAATGTCCTTCTTGATGATGAATTGGTTGCCATGTTAGTGACTTTGGGTTAGCAAAATTCCTTCCTACAGCAGACACTAACGAATTCTCCCGTCCGCAGAGCTCTTCTACTCTTAGAGGCTCGATCGGTTATACTGCTCCTGGTAATACTTATCATCTTATTATGCAAATTGAGTCATGTCATATGATCATAATAGAGTCTTTTAGTCTAGGAAGAACCTTTCTTTTCTTTTCTTTTCTTTTCTTTTCTTTTCTTGGTTGTTGTGTGACTTAATGTTTGGGAATTTATGTGAACATGCAGAGTATGGGGTTGGCAGTAAAGTGTCTTCCTCTGGTGATATCTTTAGCTTTGGCATACTTCTTCTGGAAATGTTCACAGGAAAGCGGCCTACTGATGACATGTTTAGAGATGGTCTTGACCTTCATAATTTCGTTTTAGCTGCATTTCCACATAGATTGCTAGAGATATTGGATCCAGTACTTCTAGAAAGCAACGAAATGAAGCGTGACAAAATTGAGGAGTGTGTGAATTCAGTGCATGGAGTAGGGTTTACTTGCTCTGTAGAATTGGCAAGAGACAGGATGAACATTGCCGATGTTGTTGCTGAACTGCAGTCTATAAGAAATGGTATTTCTGGGACCACTAGGCAGAAACAGGTGATTGCATTTCCAGCTTTGTCGAATGAAGAATATTAATGTAACTATGTTAGCACTTCCTGAATAAATATGGTTTGGCTATTGAAAACCATGTGATATGAAGAATATTTTGCTTGTCCGATTCTTAAGCTATTTAAAGGCCACGCTTGAATTGCGTATCTTCATTAATTCTACGCCCCCTCTTAGGGGTGTCCCATATAATTATACTAGACATTCAAATGGAGGTATTGTGCAGCTATAAATTGTTCTCCATTATTGGTCTTTCCCAATTCTTGATTCATTCTAGCATAATTTTAGAATTTTCAGTACGAACATGATCTCTCCCTTTTCTAAAGTAACATTAGTGCTTTAAAATTCAGTATGCACTTACATTAAATGATGCAAAGTATGACCAAATTACACGTCTATGCTATTCTAAGACCTTCTTTAAGACATTTAGTTGTATTCTCTTATCGGCAAAAATAATTCTTCTTTAAAACATTTCGTTGTATTCTCTTATCGGCAAAAGTAATTCTTCAGTGTTATATAATAGTTCTCTTATCGGCAAAAGTAATTCTTCAATGTTATAATAGTCTAATGAGAATCCAAGTAAAGCTCCGTAAGATCAGAAATGGAGGAGAAACAAAAAAGATTCTAGAAAGAGCTCTCAAGGCCGGCCTGGATGAGAGAAAAATGAGAATATCTCCATTCATTTTCCTAAATCTAGTAGTTACAATCTGTATATACAATTGTCTCCAATATACGCCTAATCTACCTACCTAATCTTTGTCTAATTAACTGATCTCATAATTACTTACGAATTGAGCAAAAATGGTTGTAGAATTGCAAAATTGCTCCCAGTAATCTCGCACATGCGAGAGAGTTACCACTTCTGCGGACTCACAGATGCGAGAATAAGGCCATATGTGCAAATAAGGAGAAAATACGCTGGAATTGCACCTGCACCAACTAACTTTCTCATGTGACAGTCACGTGCACCCTTTTTCCTCAATACCCCCCCCCCCCCCAAAAAAAAAAACAAGAGTGTATGCAGGATTTTTTGTTAGTGGTGTCGAAATTTATAGAAGAACAATAATAACTTTAATTATTATATTTTTAGACAAGAAATAGTCTTAGTCTATTGGTTTTGTTGAATCTAAAGTAGAAATGGTCGTGACTTCAATTCTACTTTATCACAATTTTTAATCACTGAGACTCTCTTAAATATTAGTATGAGTTAGATTTCAGATAAAGAGAGTCTGGAAAATGCTCTCCTCTCTCCTGCGATCAACAGTGCACGCCGGCGACTGCCCTTCATGGCCTTCACGGACGGCGGCCAGCCTCCTCCTGAGGTTGGTCCGTCGTCTTCCTCCCCCCTCAGCCATTACCAACCTCCACAAACCCTAATATAAACCCTAATCCACCTAAAACCTATGCGAATTTATTAAACCCTACTGTCATAAATATGCCCATGCAAACCCTAGCTATGCTACCATTGAAACCAGTTGAGTTCCTTCATGGAGAACCAGTTGTGAAGTGGAAGAAACAAGAAGTGAAGCAATCCATCGTACAACAAGGGCTTCAACTTGCAGTTCTTGAAATTTTTTCATATGTGAAGCCTGTTATTGGTGAATTACGTATAGTGATTCCAATTCAATGTGAGATTAAGGGTCATTATTCAGTTGGCTTGATTGAAGATAATAATGTGTTAATTAGGTTGTCTTTATTGGAGGATTATGTTCATCTTCTCTCAAAGCCAGCTTTTCATTTAAAGGCTCAATCAGACATGTGGCAGATGCGTTGTACAAAATGGAATCCATGGTAGACACCTGATGAAGAGAATCCAATTGTCATAGCGTGGATTAGCTTTCCAGAACTTCCTCCAAATTTCTTTGGTAAGGAATGTTTATTTTCATTAGCTCGTGCAGTTGGTAATACATTACATGTAGGCATAGCAACTCAAAATAGGACTAGACCTAGTTGTGCCAAGGTAAAGGTAAAAGTGAATTTGTCAGGTAATTTCCCTAAACGTATTAAGATTGTTGAAGAAGCTAATGAATCTGGGCCAGAAGAGTTTAAATGGATTAGGATTGAGTATGATTATATGCCCAAATATTGCAAGCCTTGCAAGAAACAAGGGCATAGTGAGGCAGAATGCTGGGTAATTCATCCTGAATTACACAAGAGATTTGATGAAGATGTTGAGGATCAAGGCAAAGAGAAGACAATTATGGTGAGCACTGAAGCAATTGGTACAGCTGCAAATTCAACAAAGGTTCTGTCAAATGGAAAGGTGGTTGGTAAGCCTACTATTAATCATGCCAAGTAGGAATGGATACAAGCAAGGAAGAACATATACTAACGGGATAATCAGGGTCACATTGTTGATAACAAACAAGGTAAGGAAGCTAACAAGGGTAAAGGGAAGGCCAAACTTGAGGAAGTAGCAACCAAGAATAAGTTTAATTCACTAGAGGTTGAGGAAGTTCATCAACCTACTCTACAAATTACTAAAGGCAAAGGTGAGGATCATAGCAATGGTAAGAAGAAGGAACATGGGGGAAATCAATCCAAGAAGGGCCATGAGAAGGAAAAAGAAGGCAATACCAGAGTTACAAGCCATAATCCTAAGGCTTCTGGGGTTAGGGTTGGGAAGGATGCTACTACTAAACCAGCGAGAGAAGGTAATCAACAAGAACTTAAGAATGTAAAGAAGGAAGTAGTTGAGAAAGTGTTGGAAGATCAGCATAATGGGAACTTAGCTAAGGCTAATCCTATTGTTCCTAGTGATCAAAGTACTGATGAAAAGGCTAATAAGAAATCCACAATCGACTGGGTTCACAGAAGGTTTGGAACTAGCAAAGAGGAGCTAAGGCAACTCAATGTGACTATAAACCAATCATGTCAAAATATTCCGTCTCAAATTTTTATAGAATCTGGGAAACTTGAGAACCTTGATGAGATAAACTCAACAAAGGTTGTAGGGAGTGATGTAATTGAGGTGGAGGATGATCAACTAGGCACGACAAAGACAACATGAGACAAAGTGAGGGACAATAGCCCATCTGGCGATAGGCTGGCGGTGCCAGGCTCCCCAGGCGTTAGGCTGGCGACGCCAGGCCTAAAGCCAAGTAACCCAGGCGTTAGGCTGGCGACGCCAGGCCTAAAGCCAGGTACTCCAGGCGTTAGGCTGGCGACACCAAGCTTGGCTCCAGGGTCACCTGATAAATCATCGATAGTAAACCCTATCCCTAGTGCAACTAGCAAGATTTTGGCCTATGTAGATGATGTTCCGGTGTATGCATTGGAGAACAAACTTGATGATAATGTGAAGGTTAGGGATGATACAGTAGGATCAGAGAATAGCAATGAAAAGAATGATGAGCAGGCAATTGTTCCAAGAGCATCTAGGGAAATAGAGGAAGTGCCTCTGGAATATGGCACTTATCAAATTATGCAGCTGCATCTTAATGTTCCACTGAAGACTCCACTACAACATTTACATGATTTAGTTACACACAATGTGGCACCAATTGATGAAGACTTAATGAGACAAAATCCTATGGAGGATGAGGGAGATGATGAATCAACAACAGAAAACTTCAAACAGGTGGCTAGGGATGAGGATCTATCACATACAGCTAGTGCTAAAAGTAGTAAGAAAATAAAGAAGAATCAGAATAAAGAGCCACAACAACCTTCAAGAATTATGCCCAGGAGGGCAGCGTCTCTATCTAAATGATGATCAAAACATTAATATGGAACATAAGGTCTGTGAATACACAACAGGCCTTTCCTAGGGTGATCAACATGAATAGGGAGCATAACCTTTGTGTAGTTGCATTGATGGAACCTTTTCAAAAGAAGAGACTCATTGATAGATATAGAAGAAGGTTGAATATGGAGACGACTTATGCAAATATTAATGGGCAAATATGGTTGTTCTTTGATACAGTGGTGGAATGGGAATTAGTGGAGGATACTGAGCAACAGGTGACTGTGAGAGTGCTTCACCATGACTTGGGGCAACACATGATGATGACATTTGTTTATGCAAAATGTTCAGCAATGGAGAGGTTGGAATTATGGGATCACTTGTATTACTTAGCAAGTGATATGAAATTGCCATGGTTGGTAGGAGGGGATTTCAATGTGATATTACATGAAAATGAGAAAATAGGAGGACTACCAGTACACCCGCCTGAATATGAGAATTTTGCATTTTGTGTAAACTCTTGTGGTTTGTTTGAGCAAGGATACAAAGGAAGTCCATTTACATGGTGGAATGGGAGATCCAATGCTACATGTTATTCAAAAGATTGGATATGATCTTTGTGAATTTTCCATTTCAGAACATTTTGCCAACTATTGAAGTTGAACATCTAATCAGAACTGGATCAAAGCATGCACCATTGTTAATGACATGTAGGGAGCAGACCACCAATTTTGTCAAGCCTTTCAAGTTCTTGAACTTTTGGACTAAACATGCTACATTTATGGATGTGGTGAGGCAGAATTGGGAAGCTGATTTCATAGGGGATCCATTTTTGATGTTCAAGCAAAAGCTCAAGAGGGTGAAGGCAACACTGTCAAAATGAAGTAGGGAAATATTTGGTGATATCTTCAAGTAGTTGGCTATTTTGGAAGACACTGTTAGGGTGAAAGAGATGTTGTTTGAAGAAGAGCCTACAATTGAGAACAGGATTGTGCTTCAAAAGGCTCAATCTGAATTGAAGAAATACTTGAGCATTGAGGAGCAGTATTGGAAGCAAAAAGCTGGGATGACTTAGTTTGCTGAAGGAGATAGGAATACGAGTTTCTTCACAATCATGTCAATGGCAAAAGAAAGAAATTGCAACTGAAGAGGATCAAAAGTGGAAGTGGGGTATGGATTGAAGACCAGGAACAATTGGCTACAGCTGCAGTGGACTTCTATGAAAAATAGTTCACAAATGAAGGTGATACATCTGAATTTTTCTTGCTCAATAATGTACCTTCGATGGTCACTATGGAACAGAATTTTGAACTTAGCAGATTTCTAACAATTGAAGAGGTAAGGA